TCTCCTGAGAGCTGCAGAAGCAGCCAATGACCTCAAAAAGCTGCAAGGAAAGTCCTGTCCAGCCCAGTCATCTCCCAAAGATCTCTCAGAGATGCTGAGTGTGAACCCTGAGCCTTGAGAGCAGGTGGACAGGGTAAAATTGGGAATGGGGTTTCTGGGGGAGGGAATTTCAGGATCCACCTGTTTCTCACCTCGAGGGTCAGAGCTGGCAACAGTGCTGGGTCCTGGTTGACACAAAACAGGGCAGCCATGGTGAAAGACACTTGGAAGGGCTTTTACTGCTTTGTAGAGAGGAGAACAAGCTGCAGGGGCAAATCTGGATTTTAATTGCATTTCCAGTCTGTGGAAGGTGGCTCTGGCTGACACAAGTGCTCAAGATATCTTATCCTGGGTTTCATAAATCACAGAATTCCTGAGGGTGGAAAAGAGCTCCAAGATCACCAAGTCCAGGCTGTGCCTGACACCCACCTTGTCCCCAGCCCAGAGCACTCAGTGCACCTCCAGCCCTTCCTGGGACACCTCCAGGGATGGGGACTCCAAAGCTCCCTGGGCAGCCCCTGCCAAGGCCTGAGCACTCTTTCCATGGGGAAATTCCTCTTGGTGTCCACCCTGAGCCTCCTCTGGCCCAGCCTGAGGCCATTGCCTCAAGGAATCTTCCAGAAGGGACTCAGGGCTGCTGTACCCAGCAGAAAGCTCTGGAATCACCTGGATGAGCCCCAGCTCTGTGYTCACTCTGAAGTCTCAGACAACACTAAAATGATATTAAAACCCTAATTAAAACCACGCAACAAAAGCCCCGAGCAGTTCACTGAGTAACCCTGACCTTTCCAGGGGCCCAGCTCTGAGAACTCTCTCCTTCCAGGGCAGCAGAATGGAACCTTTGACAGGACTTTAATGACAGGGCAGCGGTGCTGCTGCACTCCCCAGGCAGGGCAGAAGATGGAACAGCAGGGGCAGGACACGGCAGTGGGAATGGCTCTGTCAAACAGGGCTGTGGGACACAGTCAGCGAGACCTTTCCGTGCCTGGAGAGCACATGGAGCCATCCAGGCTTCCACAACCTGCCAGGGCTGTGCTGCTTAATAAGAGCTGCTTTTAATGTTATATCTTGTATTTTGCCACTCAAATAACATCAATAAATAGGTCATTGCTTTACTTACAGAGGCTCARTCCAAAAGGGTTCAGCTCCAAACCTGGAAAAGTGTAAAAAATAATCCATGCTGATGTTAAAGGCACTTAAGAGAATCCCAGAATTGGGTTGGAAAGGATTTTAAGGGGCAGGGGCAGTCTGSTCCCAGCCCCAATGTCCAGCCTGGCCTTGGGCACTCAAAGGGATCCAGGGGCAGCYACAGCTTCTCTGSGCACCCTGTGCCAGGGCCTGCCCACCCTCCCAGGGAACAATTCCTGCCCAAWATCCCATCTGGCCCTGCCCTCCTTCAATTAAAAACCATTCGCCTTGTCCTGTCRCTCTCTGCCTGTACAAAATTCCGTCTCCTTTTTTTATTTCTCCCTTCAGACACTGGAAGTGGCTCAAAGTTCTCCCAGGAGCCTCTTGTTCTCYAGGCTGAGTTTCCTCCCGACAGAAACTTCCAATAAGGAATTATTTGGATGAACTGGTCTGTAAATCAAACAGACCCTGGGAATTAGGATCACTTATACAGACCCATAAAGGGCAGTCAAAATTGACCTTTTCCATCTGGAAACAGTCACTTTTCATTGTGTGGCCCCATGTGCTCCTTTGAAGTWAAGAGATTTAAGAAAAGAGCAGAACAGAGCTTTGTAGAGGTAGGATCACAAAATCATGGAATGGTGAGGCTTGGAGGGGATGACAACGATCCTTTCCACATCTGCTGTGGGATGGGAGSCAGAGCTGGAGCTGAGTGTGGAGTTTGCTTTATTCAGGATAAACCCATTGCTGGGTATTTAGCTCCACCTATGGGCACCTCCACGAATCCTTCAGACTGAAATGCTCAGTCCAGTTCTAAGGCTCAACTAATCCCAGAATTATCAGGGTTGGAAGAGACCTTTGGGATCAGCCAGTGCCACCCCAGCCCCAGCAGCATCACCCCAAAGCTGTCCCCAAGGGCCACATCCAGACTCCTCCTGAGCACTCCCAGAGACAGGGACTGCACCCCCTCCCTGGGCAGCTCATTCCAAGGCCTGACCACGCTGACAGGGAATTTTCTTTGACAATCTCCACACTGAGCCTCCCCCGGTGCAGTTTGAGGCCATCTCCTCTTCTCTCCTGTCAGGGAGCTGGACAGAGCAATGAGGTCCCTGAGCCCTTTCGCAGCTCCCTCAGCCCTTTCCCAGCTCTGTTCCCTTCTCTGGCCACGCTCCAAAGAATCCTGAACAAAAGGAATTCCTGGCAGGAACACACACACACTCAACGTGACAGAAAGTTTGGAATGTGACAGTTTCCAGTTATCAATGGAAATTCCGTCAGGGAAGATAAAACCTCCATCCTGTCCCTGGAGTTACCTCTGTGCCTTTGCCTTACTCTCTGTAATACGTTGAAAAGTTTGGATTATTTCAAAGCCTGATATGAAATTTTTCTTTCCCACTATCTTGGGCAGTGTCTTTATCCTTGTTGTGACTTTTTAGATTCAACTATGAATTATTAAAAGCATTAACAAGGAATAATTTTCTGGGCAAGACAGGATAAAATTGCAAAGATGAAGAACTTGTGTTCCCCAAGACAAAGAGCACAACTTGAGCAGGCAGGTGATAAYGCCAAAGGCAAAATCCAGCCTGGGATTGTTCAAATGGTTCCAAATGCTGGTATTCATTCCTTCCCCACTCCTGGCACGTCTGGACTACAGAGAGAACAACTAATCCACTGGTCTGGTTTAAAATACCAAAGTTACTCTACCTGGGGCTGCTCTGGAAAACAAAAATCTGATTAAAAACAAACTTTAGTCCTTTAGAGGTTGCTGCCTTCACCTTGAGAACAAGGAAGGGCTTTAACCGAGTACCACAAAGCCCTTTCTGGATTGGATTTCCATCCCTATCCACTGCAAAACCTTAATTGTTTTCTTTTTTTTTTTTTTTTTTTTTTTTTTTCTTAGAAAAATACTTAAAATAAGCCACTTAAACACTGATGCATTTTCATATTCCAGGAGCTCCAGGAATCATGGAATCATAGCATGGCTGGGGTTGGGAATGACCTCAAAGCTCATCTCCTTCTACCTTTCACTGTCCCAGGCTGCTCCAAGCCCCATCCAACCTGGCCTTGGGAATTCCAGGGATTGGGAATCAGAACCTCTGTGGGCAAACCCCCAAATGATTCCTTTTTCAGATAAATAATATAAATTGTGAGTGCACAGGGATTGTTCTGGAGCAGGAAGATGCTGATACCTTTATTAGGAACTTCAGGCACAGAAGAATCAGGTTTTCATGGAATATTCCCCACTGGATTTTATTCATGAGCAGGTTCCCATACTTGGGAACTTGGAGATCATGCAAATCTCTCAAGGCCGGAAAGCTTTTCTAGGAATCAATTTATGAAGGGCTGGGACAACATTCTGCTCCTTTGRAAGCTGAAAATTCCCATTTTGGCACCAAACCTCGAGTGGTTCCATGCAGAAAACACCAGGACAGTTACAAGAAGACAACAAAATATTTTAATTTCAATCTGCCCCGTGCTATACAAGTGTATAAAATACCAACTAAGCATCCATTGGAACATTACAAAAATAAAAGAACCAGAAAAAGCAAGCAGCACACTGGAGTCATGAGCACAGGAGGTGGCAGATCTGACCAGGAACACACTGGAAGCATTCCAAGATTTCCATGGTTCCCACCTCAGGCAGGTGTCAAGTGTTAAAATGACAAAAAAAAAAAAAATCAGATTTATTGACAGTTTAAATCGAAAAGCAGCTCTGCTTTTGTAGCAAACACAGCAGCAGCCACCTGGGTTTCTACTGCCAAACTCATGCTTTTGATTTCTCATGGAAAAAGGACAGGGCAGGAATTATTCCAAACGTTTTCAATTGAATGCAGTGAAACACAAAGTCCAGCAGTCATCTGAGAAACATGGAAAAGTCTTGGAAAGGCTTCAAGGCAGTTGTGGCAAACCTACAAAGTTTTTCTCCACTTGATTTTTGCATTTTGAGTGTTGAATGCAGCCCGTGGAGCTGAGAGGAACCTGAAATAACCTCATTTTCCTGTGTGTCCATAAATCAGCTCCAGCAATCCGTGGAATCAGCTCTTCCCAACGGTTCCCATGGAGCCAGGCCCACTCAGACACCAAAGCCAGGGCTTGTTCCAGTTTCCAGGGAATCACAATCCAAGCTRGAGCAGAAAATTCAGGATATTCCTGGTCTCCAGTCCCAGATTCCTGTTTCAGTCAGGAATCCAGCCCTTCCTTCCATAACACCTTGTTTCCCTGCACCACAGCCTGGAATGGCTCCATTCCACAAATTASTCTTTAAAACAAGTATCATTTAAAAACCCAAGGTGTGAACCAGGCATTTCAGTCAAAATTTGCTTCMATCTCTCCTCAGACCAAACTGTGGCAAAAGCAAAGCAAGAGAGAGCCACWGTTTGATTCCTAAAAACACAAGAGAAGGTCAAGCACCCTTTTCCAAGACCCCAAGTGGTATTTTCCATGGATAGCAGTTCCTGTCTCTTCCAAAAAATACTGAACCTTTTTCAAGATGAGGATCTCCAGTTTAAAAAACAAGTAATAAAATATTTCTGTCATCTTTCTTCCTTGAAATTTGGATTTAGGAGCCTTTAAACACTGCCATATAAAAGCCCTAAAGCTTCTCCCTCACATTCCCACTGTTTAAATAAGCATTCATTGGCATTAAGCATTTCATCCCAGCTYAGTCTGGAAGCAAAGCTCAGAAAGTTTGGATTTCTGGATATCCAAAGCCAGTAGAAAAAGATCCAAGTGTGCAGCTTGGAGTAGGAATGGACAAGGAAAAGGCACTCCAGCTCTCCTCACTGGTTCCTGGGTGGAATTTTCCAATCCCTATTAAATAGCTTTTTTCCAGATTTCAAGCTTCTCCATCACTTTTTTCACTGGAAAAATCCCACTGCTCTGAATATGCACCATCAGCATTATTAGAGTCCTTTTTGCCCCTAAAARTCAAAGCTCCCAAACAAATCCTACYGAAGATATAAATTATYTGAATTTAAATAATTTAAAATCCATGTATTCCAACAACTCTCCTATTGCACRTTTTTCCACTGCTTTGCCAGATAAAACCCTCTGCAGGAATTTCAAAGGTTAAAATTTTAAAAGCACAACTTCCAGAGCACCAAAAGCAGGCGCTGGTGGAATTGTATCCTGCTGGAAAACCAGTGCCAATAAAAACAAATATAAATATATAATGTATATACACCTCCAGGAGGAATTCTGGGATGCTGAGATAAGAATAAATACTTGAAACGATTCCCAGATTTCCAGAAACTTGGGAGAAACTCTAGAAAATAAAGCAAATTAGTGTAGAAGACCAAGAAGAAACATGCACAAAACCTAGTATGAGAAAAAGSGTTAAATTCCCCCAATCTTTCCAACCCTCTCTGTTATCCCAAGATTTTCCAAGCGACCATCAGCTGGAGGATTTATGGGAATCAGAACAAGGAAAGCTCCCCCAGCTGCTTTTCCCCCCAAAACAACCCCAGTTTGTCCTGTTATGTCTCAAAACATCACCTTTCTCCTCATCCTTTGTTCCCAGGGATCCGGGAATACCCTCAGCACATGGATCAACCTGCAGCAGCAAAACTCAGGATGGAATTCCTTTATTTGGAGCAAACTTAGCTTGGAATTTCTCCTCCTGCAGCTGCTGCCGGTGCCACCAAACCTGTGAGCTGCTGTTTCCRCTGTAAAGGAATTTTTCCCCTGGCAGTTTTCTACTCCAAATCCTTGGAAAAAGCAGCAGCAGCTCAGCTCAGGTGGGCAGGAGCGTAATCCGGCCTCCGGGTCTGGATGATTTTGGGTTTGGGTTTCTTGGTTTCCTCCTCCACGTCGTTCTCCTGGTCGCTCTCACACACGTGGACCACGACGCTGGGAGTGGTGTCCGTGGCTGCGTGCAGCTCGTATTTCTCTCCTGCCAGGAAAAAAAAATGGGGAAAATCCCTCAAAAAGGAGCCAGCCCAGGAGAAATCCTACACGGGGCCTTTGGAATGGGGTTTTGAGGTGGAAAAATGGGGAGATGATAAAAGCAAGAAGGCACAAGGTGCTGACATGGAGCATCCTTGAAGGGTTTTATTGACCACTTGAGGTCTGTTTTTTTCTGTAATAGAAAGAATTCCTTAAAAGCAGACATTAAATTATTATTATTAATTAATTAAATAATAAATTAAAATCAATAATTATTATTAATTACTAAATAATAACATAAATAAAAATAAATAAGACCAGACATTAAATAATTATTAATTACTAATAATAATACCATGAATAAAAATAACTATTAAGTCCAGACATTAGGTAATTATTAACTACTAAATAATATAATAAATAAAAATAAATAATAAGACCAGATATTTAAAAATTACTATTAATTACTAAATAATAATACAATAAAGAAAAAAATAAATAAGACCAGACATTAAATAATTACTATTAATTACTAAATAATAGTACAATAAATAAAAATAAATAAATAGTAAAACCAGGCATTAAATAATTATTTTAAACTAAATAAAGGAAAGAATAAATAGTTTTTTTATCTCTTCCCTGGTTATTTTCCCTTCATTTTCTTGATCCCCAACCCCTCTCACTCTCCACAAAAGCACAGCAGGGACCTGCCCATCAGGTGCTCCSCAGGGTTCACTCCAAGGCTCTGGAGTGCTCTGTGCTCCACTCCCCTCRCAATTCTGGGATGGAAAACTCGCCCAAAGAGCAATTCCATGGAGGAAAAAGCTCTTTCCCCCAGTTCTTTGGGAACACTCATGGTGCTGGAGCAATCCCTGCCTGCTCCATGGGATCCATCATCGATTCCATGTTCCAGGGAACATCCCAGTCCATGGCAGAGCTTTACAGAGCTCAACATTCCCAATAAACATGGAAAATSTCATGGAAAAGGGAGCACAGGTCAGCCCAGGAGCTCAATAACAGGGGAAAATGAGCAACTTTTAATGCTTTAAAAGCCCTTAAATTTTTATTTTAAGGTTTCTTTTTTTGATGTCCCTAAAACTTGGAAGGAAAAYTTGGGAGTAAAGAAACAGCACCATGGAGCAGCTCTGAATTTCCATACAAAGAGAAGTTATTGTTTCATTTATTTATTCATTCCAAGTGTTCCATCAAMAACAACTTCTGCCTCCAAAACCCAWTTCAGGGAAATAAAAGCTTTGATGAAAATATTTTTTAATAAATTATTAAGAATATTCAATCAGAAGGGCTCTTGATGGGCAGTTTTAAAGTCCAACATARAGGAGGCTCAAAGTTGTGCCCTGCYCTTTTCTCCATCTTTACAATTCCTTAAGTTTGGAGGTGAACAGGAATTGAAAAATCCTCCAGTGAAATGAATCTGKCACAGTTTTTATTCTCTTTAATCCTGCTACTAAATGTGGCCATTTTTCTCTGCCCTAAAATGAATAATACAGCTGCAAACAGGTTAAATGGGAGCTGGACTTGAGGAAAGATTAATTTGCAGCAATTTTCATTAAGAAGCTGTATAAAATATGGGAGAAAACGAAATCAAGGCATGTGATCATTAATCACTGAGAATAGAAGAGGCAGGAATTTATCCTCTTAACTTCCCAGGAAWTTTAGGTTAATATTTTTAATTTCCTCCTACATGTAATAGTAGTTTCCTCTTTTGAGGCAAACAGAAATAGAATATATAGAAATAAAATATAAATAAAAATTTATTGGAAAAGTTTTAGAAATTCAGGAAGTTTCAAGGTGTTTTCCTCAACCAAAATTCTGTTGTTTAAACACTCTTACCTGGTCCTAGCTTGGAAATAGCATATAAAAGGTCATAATTAATGACTGGAGTAGCATCCTCCACTTGTTTCCAATCCACAGGAGGAGAGGCAGGAGGGGAGATCAAGAACTGCTTGTCTGGATTTGGGGGAGCCAAATGGGAGCTTCCGATGTGCAAAGTCTGGAAAAGAAGGGAGAGAAGCCAAAGGTGTCACTGTGATCCCTGAACAATAATTTGTCCTCCTCCCCCAGCAGGAGCTGGAGGGTGAGAGGGGTGCTGTGCTCTGCCAGGCACTCAGGGTGGCAGCACCAGCCAGGATTCCACAGCAACAAGGAAAATTCAAATATCTGCCCTGAGAAAACTCGACAAGGAGGAAGCCTTTAAGGAGAGTGGTGGGAATTCCAAAAGGGACAGAAACAACCTGGCTCCTGGGGTCATCCAACACCTGTGGATTTGTTTTCCCACTCTGTTTTCAGAGGGAAAAGCAGCTGAAAACTGCCTGATTCCCAGAGCCTGAGTTTCCAGAGCTGCTCTGCTGGAGATCTCCCAGAACAGGACGGGCAGGAGAGGCTGGGATGTGCAGCTCTGCACCCTGGATTCCCTCAGGGACTTTCTGGATGTTGGMAGAGCCCTTTAAATTCCTGGAATGTGCTGATTCCCATCCAAGGTTTTCCAATCAATTCAGAGGGAGACATCAATGGGAAACTCCAGCAGCCTCCAAACCCACAGAGCTCTGGAACAACCCTGGATTCTCTAATTAATCTGACAAAAATACCCACGAAGGAGTAAATTTGGCTTTAATCCCTCCAAGGATAATCCCAAAAAGCTTTACCTGAGCAAAATAGAGTTTGAGCTCCTTTCCAAGGAATTCTGACTTGTGCAACTGGAGYCTGGCATCTGCTGCAGATAAAGGGTTGCTGAAGTTTATTCGGACTCGTTTGAAGCTCTTAAAATACTGAAAGGTGAGGTCCCTGTCGTAGGGTCGGAACAGGGATTCAAATTTGGCCTGGAGAAAGAAGCAGAGGAAAAAAAAATCAGTATTAAACACCGATGAAGAAATAAATTCAAAAATAAAAAGTTGCTAATAGGAGTAAACTACCACTCTTGAATATTGATATATGTAACAGCTTAATTGAGATTTTTTTCTTCTTTCTTTCAAGAATGAAGTTTTCTACCTTATCACTTATTTTCTCTACATTAAAAAAACACAGATAAGATCATTAAGTGATATCACTCATTTTATTACTATCATTAATAAGTATTGAACAATACAGCCCAATTTAACAACAGAAATTGCCTTATAAATTTAATATCTAAAAGCCTTGATAAAAGTCTGCCAAGYCTTTGTCTAAAAGTGCAAATTTCAAGAGAATCAATGCAAGTTTTAACAGAGAAAAATGTAAAAATCCTCTTTGATTTTCAAGCTAAATGCGATTTTCTTCAGTGACTCAGSACACAGAATGAAGTTCACGGACATCTCCTGCTTTCCTGCTATTTTTAATTTAATTTCTGTAAAGTGYTTCCACTTTTCCTTCAGGATCCCAGGCCAAAGGAGAGACACAAGAGGAGGTTCTGGAGCTGCCAGGCCCTTCCCAAGCGTTTCATTCCCACAACCCTCAGTGCAGAGATGGCAATGCATTCAGGATTCAAATTTCAGGTATTTCCAGGTATTTTCTCTCCCTAAAAGCTTCCTAGAAACTCAGGACAAACCCAAAATAAACATAACATCATTCAGGGGTTTTTACTATGGCATTTTTACTTAGTCGAGGGGAAAAAAAGCAGCAAAGATTACATAAGAAGGCAGAAATTAATTCAAAATATTATTTTCCTCCCTGGAAAGCTCCACTTTACAAACTCCCCGCAGCTGGGTACAAAAATCATTGTATTTCAAAGAGATTTTAAAAGCAGAGCTGTTCTGCTTCTTCAACTTCTTCAGAATGAGCTCTGAAGCAGGACCAGGACCCTTCCCACACAGAGCTGGTATTTGGGAGCCTCAGAGCTGAGATGCAACCACAAAAAGTACACCCAAAAACCGCATTTCCAAGTTCCCATTCAACATTTAAACCCAGAGAGAGTTGGTAAATATATATTTATACCTATGTATTTATAGACTTATTGAAATGTAGGTGATTACAGAAGTCAGAAATGCCACTTTGGCACTGTGACASTAAAAAGAAAGTTATTTTTATTATTTTAGTTATTAAAGTTATTATTAAATAGTTAATGAAGTTATTATTTTAATTATCTTAGCAGTCAACAACTCGCCGTGTCAGGACTGATATATATTTTACATTATTTTATATTCTATTTTTATAGCAATTTCAATAGATTTTATATATGTTATGGTATCTTTATATTCTATACATTAATACATCCTATTTTTATATTCCATACATTAAATACATTATATTGTGCCAATCAGTTAAATACAGATCCARGACGACTTCTTAGAGTTTTAACAGGAAAAGAATCCCAGGAAAAGTATAAAATACATTACAAATTAGTGGATCTTGCTACCAAAATAAGAATTAAATATTTGCTGGAAATTCAGGATACACAACACAGACAGTCAAGGAATTCTGGAAGGAGAACTGAGATAATTTTCCCAACCACACGCAGCTAAAATCGAGTAATTCCCAGAGCTGGAGTCACTCCATCAGAGCAGGCTGCTACAGACTTCCAAGACTTTTATGGCAACCTGGAATTTCCTTCCAAGTTGGAAGCAGCAGCAGCTCCAAAGCGGAGCTCCCAGAAAACCCACGAAACATACCCTGGTTTCTGGCTGGTTGAAGACATCCCCATCGGCCAGGCAGGCGATGAGCGAGCTAAAACTGTAATGGAAATTACGGAAATGCATGGCGGGGCCGGACCCGAGCGATTCCCGCAGAAATCCCGCAATTCGCGGCAGCCCTGCCTGCTGCAGGCTGCGTTTATAAAGGAAGCAAGTCCAGCCCCTGGAGAAAAAAAAAAACCTCTCAGAGCATCCTGTGTGTGACAGCGAATTCCTGAGCAAAGTCCCGCATGCTTGGAGGGAGCCGGGAACAAAATGTAAGCGGGGCTGGAAAGAGGTGACGTCAGCAATTAGCTTCCCTCTGCTAATTACCGGGAGCATGGAAAATGCAGCGGAGCTGGGCACGGCAGCTGCTGCCAGCAGCCTCTTGCAGAATAGTTTCCACTGGCAGTAATTCCATGCAGCGCCCAGCCCCAAAGGGAGCGCATGGAAAATGTTCCTGCCGCGGCTCCGGGAATGGAGCGATTCCACGGCAGGAAAATCGCCTGATTTCTAATTCTTTGGGATGGAAAAGATCCCTCAGCTCGGCGGCTTTTGGTTACTTATTGCAAAAAAAAAAAAAAAAAAACCATTCCACAGGTTGAAAGGATTGATTTGGGAAAATAATTTTCCTCCCGCCACAGGGAGGATTCATTTGGAAGCTTCTTCAAAGCAACTCTATGGATTAATTATCATTCTCATCTTACTAAAAACTCTTTCCCAGCCTCATAAAGTGRGGAGCGTTTTGCTGGGGGTTGGTTTGTGTTTCTTTTCCCTACCAGGAGCTTGCTCAGCAATCTGCTGGCAGGGTTTTACCAGAACCTGAGCTACAGTGGCAGGGACCAGCTACGGAACCGGAATTCCTGACATTTTCTGGGGCACTTGTRACCCAGTTTCAAAGCACCACAGAACAGAAGGATCTAAGGGGTTTTTGTGGTCACTTCTTGTGGAATTTTTTTGAGGAGTAGTTTTTTTTTTGGGGGGGGGGTGATTTTGTTGTTTTTTTGGTTTTTTTTTTAATCAAGAACCATTTTAAAACCCACACCATTTAAAGTAATTAATGAAGTTTAAACTGAAGCTTTTAGAAACTATATGGAGCCCTCCTATACACATTCAGCTCCAAATTACAATGAAGTAAAAATCTGAAGTGCCTTTAGTTCCTTCTACTCTAACAGGGAGCTCTGACAGAAGCACCAAGTTTTAAGCATATCTGCGAACAATGCACAGTCCTAAGTTACAAACCTTGTTTCATCAATATTTAACTATACAAAACTACTCACACTCTTTATTTTTAGGGGCTGTACTTGCTAAATCTCCATTTAAAGTCAAACTCCCTGCTGTTATTAGGTTACCTCAGTGTAAAAGTTACAGCATGGAAAGAATACTTAAAACAATTCATTAGAACCTTTTCCTGGAAATACTCACTTAAATATGCCAGGATTACTGAGGTTGGAAAAGAGCTCCAAGCTCATCCTGTGACTGATTCATCCCCACCTTGTCCCCAGCCYAGAGCACTCAGTGCCACATACAGACATTCCCTGGACCCCTCCAGGGATGGGGATTCCAATTCCTGACCACCCTTTGTGGCAAGAATGAGATCAATTCCATCAGCGAGGAGAGGATGCAGAGATGGACTGAACACGCACACAGAGCACACACACAAACTCAGATAATTCAGGAAAGGATTCATAACCAACCCTGAAACCCCTGAGCCCACAAAACAACACCGAGCACATCCTAAATCCTGCCCCTGACCTGGAATTTGCTGCCAAGCATCCTAAAGCCTTCGGATGTGGAAGGAGCAGGCGTGACACCATAAAGCAGAGGTCAGGATGCTCACCTGGAAARTATGGCCATGAATCACCTGAGCACAAAGGCAAACAGGCTGCCCACGTGCCAGGGAACGCTGCAGCTCCTGATAACAGAGCAGAGCAGGTTCCTGCTCTAACCCAGCACAGCCTCGGGTCACTGCAGCAMCTGCTGGGGGGACATTTCTGTTCCTACATCTCATGGAGAGTAAAATATTAAAAACACCTCTGATTGCTGTCCTCAAAGCCACCCACACATTACTGAGAGTCGGAGAAAATTGCTACAGAAGTCACCTTTCAAACCTTTGTCATCTAATACAGAACTGAAGCCTGGCTATAAACAAACCAATTGGTTCTGAGAAATCGAACACCTCACAAAGCAACTTTTACACAGTGRTTTTTCAGATTTAAAGAAACATTTAAGTCTTCTACTGATCCACACCTTTTTAACTTGTCTGTTTAAAACCACAAAGAAATCAGTCCTAGCATGGTGCCCTTTAAAACTACAAAGAAATCAGTCCTGGTGTGTTCCATTTTATCATTAACATAATTATTCTTTGGCAAGGTTGTGTCACAAGTCATGAAATAACAAAAAGGTTTGGGATCGAGGGATCTTAAAGCCCACCCAGTGCCACCCCTGCCATGGCAGGGACACCTCCCACTGTCCCAG